CGTCTGTCAGTAGCCAATAGTACAATATTCCAGTAACACCTTGGACCTGGTAACACATCAACTCACCTTTATGTACAACTTGTTCTTCAGTTGGTAACCTTTAAGAAAATGGTCAAAAAAAAGAAGAAAAAATAAAGTGCCGTACAAATAGAAGCCTAATATTTTTGTTCTTGTTTTGTGAGCGTACTGTACACCTGTATAATGTATATTTTAATATTTATATGCAGTTGTTGTATTAAAGTATATTTTTAAAATAAAACATGGAGCTGGATTCTTTTCTCTGAAACGGGGAGGGGCAATTTTTGAAATTTTATTAAAATAAACACCTTTAAAGAATCCATTCGGCTGAAGCTGATCTCTGTGACACGACTTTTTGAATTTAATTAAGATATTTTAATTTAATGCACCTGTGTGATAAAAATACTTGTTAAATCAAAAGGCAACATTTGATTAAACGTTTGTTTTTTTTTTGCACTTTGAATGTGTGAGACAGAAAGGTGGGAAAGGTTTAATTAGGCTGCTTCACATTTTAGGAATCAGGAACCTAATTTTCACCTGGATATCAAGAAAGCAGCTGAGCGCCACCTGCAGGTCTTATAAGGCAACTGCAGCCACTGAAAATTCAGCATTTCTGCCGGAAAAATATGGAGTGATTTATGATCCATTATTGTTGCAAGCAAATAACACTATTTTTTTTTCACCAATTCTATAAATGATTTTTTTTAACAGATGTTATGTTTTCAAATTATTATTTCTTTGCAGAGTATCTTTTCAATTCCTTTTTTAAATCCTGCTTTACAGACCACATTCTCTTCACTTCAAGCATGATAAAAATGCTCGTTCTTGATGCCCACATCGACTATCACCATTTTGCATATGGTTTACGTTCATGCAGACAGTGCAAAAAATGTAAATCTAAATAAGTCATTTTTTCTTGAAATGAGGAGGTAAGTGAGACACTTTGCCAATGGAACAAGACAATTTTAATTTGAAATAAGAAAAAAAATTGCTTAGTCTTATTTCAAGTGCATATTATCTAATTAACTTATTTTAAGTGTAAAAATACTCATTCCATTGGCAAACTATCTTATTTACCTACTCAAATTGAGTGTAAAAACACTTGATTTAAGAAATTTTTACTTATGTTTAAATAGTTTTTGCATCTTTAATCCTCCAGATGAAAGAAAGCACCAGGAGTGAACAGAATGTAATCTGCAAAACAAATTACATTAGAAAAGTTAACCAGGAAAACTGGAATTTAAAGGAAAAAAGAAAATATAAAATCTGAAAAACAAATAAAATATTTGAAATAAAAAATAAAACTACAATCTAAACCTTTTTTGACCAAAAGTTGTTGATTTTATTCATATATAGATGTATATTTATACATACTTTTTATTTTAATTTGCAAAATGTGTGGAGTTTTTTAGATTCCCATTTAATAAAATATGTTACTTGCAGTATTGCAATATTGTTTCGAGCATGCTTGCAACAATATTAGGTAATGCAGCAACTTCAGGAAACAAAAAAAGCTGCTGAGAGGCTGAGGTTGCGCTGTTCTTTGTCTGACGGACTCGTTCAAAAAAGGAATCCACTGAGATCAATATGCTGCTGATATAACTTGTCAAAACATAGATTACAGCGATTTGCATTGCAGTCAACAAAAAATACAGCGGCTCACTCACCCACTCTCTGCCAGTGACACACCCACAGGTGAGAAATAAACCCAATTACAAAACTCGTCCAAAATCTGATTGATCAATTCCCCTACAAACAACCAACAAATAAAAACAAAACCATAACAGCTATAAACTCACACAAAGCATCTTTTTATGTATGGCTCCTACATTAGGAAACAAAAAAAAATCCAGAACCATAGAGGTTATTAGCCAAAAACTTTTTTCTTTATGATTAAGGCAGATCCTGTGTCTTCTCTGAACTGAGGTACGAACCCTGATCATTCTGGCCAAGAAGATTAACTCAGCAGAACAAAGAGTCTGATGCATCAAATATTCTTTAGCTTCCATCATGAATTACTCTAAATTTCACATCTGGACTGTGGCTGAAACAAACCAAAATGATCACATCCGGCCCTCACCTCTAGGGAAATTTAAGAAGGGATGAGAAACAAACTCACTTTTATCTATTAATATGAAGAGTTTCATAAGCTTTGCTGAGAGAGATGCTCCACCTAGAGGAAAATATAAGTAGAAAACCTTCCCAGCCTCCTGGATGAATCCTTCAGGCAACAGAACAATCCAGAACATCAAAAACTCTGCAGGCCTCAGTCGCCTGTTAAGGTTTATAGTAACCGTTAAACAATAAGAACAAGCGAATGAGCATTAATGGACAAAATCACAGCCAACCAGTAACTATTAAACATATTGATGATCCCAAAAACTACAGGCTAATTATTCCCTGTATCTAAAAAAAAAAAAAAAAACATTTTCAATTTTGTTTCTTTCCTCCTCATTAAATGCAAAACATAATTCAAATACAATTTGTTACGTCTGCACTATTATTTTATATTACTATTAAAAATCTGACGATTCTTTTCAAACCTTAACGACTAAATTAATCTAATCAAATCCATTTCTCACTTTTATTATTTCTTCTATTAGTTCTGTTATTATACCAAATGATTCCCTAAATGATGCATAAACACTAGTATCAATAGCAAACAAAATATTTCACATGTTGGATGACTTAAAATGTCTTTACAGTCACTCCTAAATATTTGCAGCATCTCAGCCGACAGTTTTCTGCATATGGGTCATTCTTTAACTACGGCACTTTTATTTCCTTCGATCATATTTCATGAAAAAAATGAAAAAAGGGACATTTCACACTTTTATAGTCATCTTTACAATGAAACTGTTTTAGGATAGTTGTTTTAGTTGTCTGTGGTGACTTTTTTTTTCAGCCTCATTTATAGGCGAGTCTGCACTTACTTTAGGCTACAGTCATTTCCAACATTGTTATATTACAGATTATTATATATTTAATGAAGAAAAACTGCAGCTGATTAAGTCATTTGTTCCAATTTTCAAGGATGCAGTTGCTAAAATGTCATCTTATAAACGGTAATATGAAGGAAAAAAAAAAAGATTAAGGTATAAATCTGCAACATAAATAAAAAATTGAAAAAAAAATCTGAAAAAAAAAATAATTGGACAAAATCAGAGAAGGCAGCAAGGTTCCTCTCAGAACTTTTTAGGTTTATATGTTTCTTTCCTCCTCATTATATACAAAACATAATTCTAATAGAATGTGTTACGTCTGCATTATTATTTTATATTAGCAATAAAAATCTGTTGATTCTTTTCACAATTTAGTGACTAAATTTCATCAAATCCATTTCTCACTTTCATTATTTCTTCTTCTATTAGTTCTGTTATTATATTAAATTATTCCCTGAATGAAGCATAAACACTAGTAGCAATAGCAAACAAAATATTTCACATGTTGGATGACTTGTTGCATTATAGACTTTATATTTAATGAAGAAAAACTGCAGCTGATTAAGAAATTTGTTCCAATTTTCAAGGATGCAGTTGGTAAAATGTCATCTTATAAACAGGAATATGAAGAAAAAAAAGATTAAGATATAAATCTGCAAGATAAATAAAAAAATAAAATAAAAAATCAGAAAAAAATATCAGAGAAGGCAGCAAGGTTCCTCTCAGAATTTTTTAGGTTTAAATGTTTCTTTCCTGCTCATTATATACAAAACATAATTCAAATAGAATTCGTTTCGTCTGCATTATTATTTTATATTAGCAAGAAAAATCTGTTGATTCTTTTCACAATTTAGTGTCTTAATTTCATCAATCCCATTTCTCACTTTCATTTTTTCTTATATTTGTTCTGTTATTATACTAAATTATTCCCTGAATGATGCACATACACTAGTATCAAAAGCAAGCAAAAATATTTCACATGCTGGATGACTTGTTGCATTACAGACTTTATATTTAATGGAGAAAAACTGCAGCTGATTAAGTAATTTGTTCCAATTTTCAGTCTAAAATAAACCATTAATAAAACATTTTTCTTTTTGTTTCACTTAGCCAGACTGTGAAAGAAAAGGAGACGGAGAAATCCTTCAGCAGAGCAAAGAACAGTCGGTGAAACGGTGACCTGCTGAGTAACATGCAGGCTGTTCTGCTGCAGCATTGATCAGACCCATTCTAATGAGCAGAAACTGGCAAAACATTGATTCAATAAAGAGAGACGCGCTGTTAATGTTTTCTGCTCTTTTATTGGTTTGGAAATGTTTAAGTTCACATTGTTTCAATAAAAAAAACCAAAAAACAATTAGCCTTTTCAGTGAATTACCGTCTGAAATTGCACAGTGCCCAGCTGTGAAAACTAGCGCTCCTTTGGGAGGAGATGCATCACAGAAATGGAGAAAAACTAAAATCCCTTTCAGGATGGCGTAGGAAGCGCACACCGGTGAAAACACGTCAGAACCTGCATGTAGAGAAGAGCAGGTTCTGTTTCTACAGAGAGCTGAAAGAACGGGGTCAACATCTGGATGAATCATCCCCCAATTCTCTGAAAAACCCGAGGGGATCGTTTATGAACGACCAGGAGAATGTTTCTAGTTACATATTTACATCATGGCTTCCATGTCTGCACAGATAAAACAGTTCATATGTCGACTGAAGAAAACTCTCCTTCCTGAGGATCATTTTCTCAAAAAAACTAAAAATTAAACATAGTTCCTGTTGTGAAATGTCACCAACCCCAAAACTTCTGTTATTAATCAGAGGTTCTGCTGAATAAGTTATAAACAGTCAAAATCTTGCTTGCAAATATTAACTTTGTGTCTTAACTGAACATAAATCCAGATGATTTGGTCCTGGAGGCGAATGCTAAGAAAATATTAGATCTCACAGTTTAATGAAGCCTTTATATGGAGGGAATTTTGCTCCATTATTAAAGAACATGTTTTGAAAATGGATGTCGGGAAAAAATATTAATAAAATAGATTAAATAAAATGAATGTTTTTTTTTTAGATCCAGTTTTACAGATCAAATGCTCTTCACCTCTTTCCTTTAGAGTGAGGAGCAAAGACTCGTTCCTATTGGTCTGTAAAAACCTTAGCAACATTTGTATTGGTCAGGAACGAGTATTTCTGTTGATCTGTTAAAGACAGCTTGAAAGGATGCAGTCGGTAAAATGTCATCTTATAAACAGGAATTTGAAGGAAAAAAAAGATTGATATAAATCTGCAAGATAAAGTTGAAAAAGTGGAAAGAAAAACAAATCTGAAAAAAAAAAATGATTTGACAAAATAAAAATCTGAGAAAGCAGCTAATTTCTTCTCAGAACCTTTTTTTTAGTTTAGATGGTTTTCAAAGTTTAATTTCCGGATTGTGTTTTATACAAATTTCTATTTACATCTATAAACATGTTGTTTGCAAAAATAATGGAACCAAATTCACTCCATACATGGACATCAGGTAAAGCCATGTTTGCACTGGAATTAGACTTGGACGTAGGGTAGATTATGTTGCATCATCGCTGTAAAGTATCTCCAATCAGAAAAGGGACGTGGAGCAAATGGCAAAAAACATAAAAATGAAATATTTTGTGCTTTTTATGCACAAAAAAGCTTCCAATTCTCATTAAAACATGAAGTTCTACGTAGATAAGCTCTAATGAAAACATGGTGATGGTTTGAAGGGTCATAAAATGGTGAATTCATTCATTTATATCCTGAAGTCCTTTAGAGACGATAAAAGTCAGATTTGGTCCCGATCCATTTGGACAAGCTACCAGGTTCAGATCTAATCTGGATTTACATTTAATGATGGAGTCATTACTGGAATCTGATATTAACTCTTTAAGGTCCGTTTACTGAACCTCATGTCAGAAATTCGTCAGGAAGCCTTAAAAATCTGAACTCCAGCGATACTTCGGTTTCCAGAACCCAGCAGAACTTTCCTCTCTGTTGCTGCTGAAATGTTTTTGGCAGTGAATGAAATGGAGGAGGAAGGTTGGCATTCAAGTATCAGCGGCCATTGTGAAGCCGAGGATGAGTAGGAGGAGCTAAAACAGGCCAGGATCGATGGCAGGAGGGTCAGAAGGATCAAAACAGAAGGAAGGATTCTACTTCTAGGCTAAAACGGATAAAAACATGAAATAAAAATGTCTGCGAGTCGTTGGTGAGGCTTGTTTCTGAGACTTTGGTTTTCTCCCTCTGAGAACCTCTATGCTGACAGGAGTGTTGTTCATTTTGGACCGTTTATGATTTATCCCTTTTCTTTTAACAATGAAACGATGATAAAAAGTTACAAATCAGAATCTATTAGGGGACTTTTTTTTCCCTCCGTTTCCAAACGATGTAAAAATCAAACAGTCGTCCTTTAGTATTTCTGACAAACCACACCGTTGGCCTCCGAAACTTCTGGTTCTGTCAGGATGTTGGACCATTCGCCGATCTGAGGTCATGTGAAACATTTAGAAATAGCCTTCCAGCTTTTTTTTTTTTGCCCATTTCGTGAAAAGGATCAGAGCCACTTTCACGGCCAAACAGACCATGATGCTGCCACCACCATGCTCTACAGTAGCTGCCCAGTTCTTCAAAATAAGCTAAATATAAACGTGAAACAAAACCTTCTTTTATTAATTTATGTGATTTGGATTCTTACTAGTTGGCACCAGTTTACGGTTGGATGAAACCTCGCTGGTCGCTGGGTTCTTCCAACATAACGCTGTTTGCAAGACATGGGATGGATGAAGGAGGTCAACATGAAGCTTTATGGTCCATGATTAAAGCTGAAATGATTTCTAAAGGATTTAAAGATTCATTATGAATTATGAGCTTTGACGGACATCTAGGCCCCTCTCCAGGGTTCTGATCTTCAGCAAATATGGTTGTTTCACTGAAAGTCTCAAATTAACACTAAAATTTCATCAGAGCAGCATCACACTGGGTCAGTCTGATAGCTTATAGTATGAGCGTCGCCTCCAAACTCTGAGAAGGACCCTGGAATGGTCGCCCATCAGCTAGAATCCCACCAGAAGCTTTAACAAACCCAGCTTAATAAATACACCTAAAGAGAACGTTTTAAGGAATGATGGAAAGTGGTTTGGGATGTTTCTCTCCATCCAGGGAGGAGAACAAAGTAGATAATCTGTTCACAAAGTTAAAGAATTAAAAATCAGAATGTGTGGTTTTGGTTTCCTGCCTCGTTGGGCTTTGGCTCCTCAGATCAGTTCCCTCCAGATGTTCATGCTGTGGGATTTCCCTGTGGTTTAAAGTTTAAACGCTGGAGGACAGACCGCCTCTCTCAGGGCAGCAGCGCTTCGCCTTCTTCCACCCACAGCAGATCCAGCGCCTCCACCTGCCGCAGCTCGCGCTGGTGGATCCTCCGCAGGCGCAGGATGTAGAGCAGGATGGCCAGAACCACCACCAGGAGGCAGAGGGAGAACAGGTGGTGGTTGTAGACGAAAGAGGGCCGCAGCCAGCCGGGGTGGCCCTGCCGCAGCGTCTCCTGCTGCAGATCCCTGCAGAAAAAAACAAAAACAAAACGCCAAGAGCAGATATGAGGAGACAGGCTGCCAGAAAAAAACTCATTAAGCAACAAGCAGCTGCTGACATTCCCAATGTTTACAAAAACAGGAGATATTAAAACACTCCAACATCAACGACAATCTATTCATGCAGGACAGGAAAGCTCCTCATTGGATCAGGAACGTCAGCCGGTCCCTGAAACCTTCTGTTAAAGGGAAGCGGATCTACCTGAGCGGCAGGAAGCGCGTTTTGAACAGGATGGCCCCCAGGGTCCACTGCACCTCCTTTTCGTAAACCAACTGGGCCGTTTTCAGGCTCCGGTAGTCGGTGGGAATGCGGAAGCCGGAGTGCAGAACCTCATGCATCCATGCTGACTTGAAGCACTGAAGCCTGAGAAAAAGGAGGAGATCAGAAGAACGTGAACGACGCTACTTTGATACGAAGCTAAAGACAAAGTTAGTTTGATCCACTGGTTTAAAGTCGTAGGGAAGCGGCTGTTCCAACTTCTCCCGAGTGGTGCCCGACTTTACACGAGTGAATAAAGTGAATGTGATTGGTCGATTACCAAGGGGGCAGGATTGTTGTGATGGAAGCATGTTTTATTGTGGCCAGTTTTTTGGAAGCATCTTGCTAACCAGTTAGCAACTTAATGCTAGCAGGTTCCCAATGGGAAATTCCATTGGGACCAAGTAGCACTAAATTGGTGACTTAGAAACGAAACTGTCAAGGAACGCTATGGACAGAGGAAACATGCAAGAGGAGGAGAGTTTAGCGTCGGAGGTCGTGGATGAGTCTCCTCCGTCATCCATGTTTTATTTAGAGGAGGAAAGCGGGGACGAAGATGTTGTGGAAGAGGACGCCAGGGCAGCAGAAGCTTGGTTTGGTGTAGAAGGCTTCCAGCCGTACATGTTTGAGCCCTCGCCTCGCAACGCTGCCAGTTCTGTTAGCTCTACGCCTGCTGAAGACACAGACGTCCATCCCCGTGAACACTGGGACGGAACTCGATAGGAAAGTTAATGATTCCGAGTTCTTAATTCAATTCTATTCAGTTTATCTATATAGCTCTAATTCCCAACATGTCATCTGAAGGCACTTTCCAGTTCAACCAGATCATCCAGTCAGATTGATTCAAAGTTTTCTATCTAAGGAAAACCAGCTGATTGCATCGACTCATTGACTCTTCCGCAATCCCTCACACTAAGCATGCTTGTAGCGACAGTGGAAAGGAAAAACTCCCTTTTAACAGGAAGAAACCTCCACCAGAACCAGGCTCAGTGTGAGCGGCCATCTGCTGAGGCCGACTGGGGTTCAAGGAGACGGAAGCAGAGACACAAAAAGCAGCTGTAAAAGGCGGCCCGGTCCAGGAAACACACAGCCAGGCAGACGAGCTCCTAGCCAGCTCCCATGTCAGAGGATGAAGAGAGCACATCCAGCCAGTCACAGTCAGAGAAACAGGACCACACTGGGAAACAGGCTGATCTCCAACATCTATAAACTAAAGTGTTGATGTCACCACCAAACGTTTTATATTTGGCTGTGAAGTTCCCTGTGCTTTACACTGATAAGCAGGTTCCCTCTGAGGGGATGTGCTCAGTGAGAGGAGCTGAAGAGACCATAAGGCAGTCTGTAACATCAACTGAACAGAAAACATTGTTTAAACATCTATAAAACAGCCTCAGGAGTCATTTATATAGAAAGAGGCTCATATAAGAGGAGAAATTGGACATTTGAAATTCCTTAAAGGGATAGTTCAGGTTTTTGGACATGAAGTTGCATGAAAAGTTTACAGTCAGTAGCTGAGATGTAACAGTGTCATTGCTGTCACTGACCCTCCTGCTCCGAGTTCATTTCAACCATCTTTATGTTCAAAAACCCAAACCAACCCTTTAAGGGAGCCTGGTGCACTGCTTACATTTGATCACTGCTGCACTTTAAGGAATGGAAATGTAATGAAAGCTATACAAAATAAAATTTTGTTCTGTTCACATTAAAATGACAATAAAAGACCTCCACCATGACGGCACCAACACCATCTGGTCCTGCTTTGAAACACTAAGAGATCCCGTGAACCAAACCAGTGGCCCCATTAGGAGCCCGAGGAGGCAATGCTAACTACCAAGTAGCATTTAGAGCTGCAGCAATGAACTTTGGGGAGATGGCTATCTGCTTCTAACTTAGACTTTCCCCCTTGAATTCAGCCATCAGATCGTTTGCATTTCCAGCAATAAAGTGGCATCCCATCATGATGCTTTTAGTTTAAATCCAACATAACGAAAAAGAAACCCATGTATGTTTTATTTTTAATCCAATTGTTTGGGAACAGTTTTCCTAATAGAATTTCAAGCTAATGTTTCCTCAGAGGATGAACTACAGAATCAGTTGAAGAAGACCGAGCCCCAATCGTGACAGGGTTCCGTTCAGGGTGGCTGAGCTTACTTGAGTCTGTTGATGTCAGCCTGCTGAGAGAAAAGCTGATTGTCCAGACGCTGCTTCAGGGTCGACCATTTGGTGGCACAGTAGTCCTGGTTCCAAAAGATGAAAAAAACAAAAATATTTAGCTCAATTATCGAGTTTACTGAACATTTATTTAGACTGACAATGCCTTCTAGTACCTTGGAAGCTTGGGTGTATTTGTCGCTGTTGTATTGTCCTCCTATCCTCAGCACGTCCTCCATGCAGTAGAAGAACTCAGAGAAACCGTAGAACTCACTGTTGCTGAAGTTGATGGGAGCCTGAAAAGCAAAGCGTTGAAAAAAAGAATGTAAACAAATAACAGGCTAACGGTTAACTGTTGATTCATGGTTTATTACATTAAATGTGTTCCAGGCAACTAAGGATAAGAAATTCTCTAAAGTGTTGTAATGCTGCCTTTGTCCACTAGAGGGAAAAATTTATCAATCGATCCAGATTTCAGTTTGGGATTATTTACACTGTTTATGACAAAAAGGATGTCGAACAAACTTTATATTGTTCTGTTTATAAATATTAACATTCAATAAACCGTAAGTTTTCACCTAAGCTGTGCAATATGGAGGAAAGAGAAGTGTTTACATTTCTCCTAAGCTCAGAAGGTGAGGATGAGGTGATAGAAAGCATTTGTAACATTAAAAAAAAGAAATGTCTGGTTAAAATATTTGTAAAAAGGCCAATTTTGTTTATTAGGTTCGTATTTAAAGCAGCTGGCACAAAACTTTCTACAATATAATAACGACCCTTCTACGAATTTATGAAAATTCCGAACTTTCGCAGCTGGATAATGGATAAATCTGGGAATCCAATTATAGCATCAAAAGCAGAAGTGAAAATATAAATTGGTTAAATCAACCATGCAGCGCAGGAATCCTGTATTAAAGGAAAAGTCGGGTCAAATTCAGAATGGAAACTTCTGAAAGTACTTTAAGTAGGAAGTTATTACATACTGTTCAATAAATGATAAATGTTTTTAATTAGGAGTAATTTTATTTGTTTCTTCTTCCAAATGTTGGCTACATATTACGTGTTTTTTCCTCTTTTCTCTTCAAGTTGGAAATCCAACAACGAACCAGTTAGTGGAGGATCAGGAATCGGAAAGGTGAAAAAATTTATTTTTTTCCACTTTTACCCGATGTATTCCAGCATCCAGCTGCCATGCATGTGGGCATTGTCAGTTTCACTATAGCTCTGGTGAATTTCAATGGTGAAGTCCTCTGGAAATCTTCAATAATTGTTGTTGATTGCAGATGTGTCTAGTAGTTCCCATTGATTTAGCTTGTAAAGCGGGGAGAATGGCGCTAGGCTTACCGCACCGTGACGTCACTCTAGAAAAGTCACATTATATTAATAGTATTATCTTGTATAAACATACCGTGACTCTAAAATAAAAGTTATTCATTTGTGACATTGATTTATCTTAAGTTTTTAACCTGTCAAGTTTTTTTTTTAGATTTTTAACATTACAATTTATATTTTTCCAAGCATACAACATTTAAAAAACAAACATGTTTCATTGATATACATACAAAAATTAATATTAGGAACTATATTCATCAAACATTAAACTGGGCAAGTAAAAATTGTTTCCGGGCAAATGAAATGTGAAAGTCACTTGCCCAAAGGGCAAGTGGTAAAAATACTTGACGTCAACCCCTGCCTTGATTATTCCTTGCTGCCCGGATTTTACCTTTAACCCCTAGAACCCTACGGACCCACCGGTGGGTCCAGCTGCTACGTGACCTCGTAATTTTAACAAACCCCCAGTATTGATGTAAAAAACACATTTGGCACAGTTTGGTGACGTTTTTGGATAAATATGCCAAAATGGCCCCTCCGCCTAAGAAATTTCTCACTAATACCATTCTAAAATAAATATGATTCATCTGATTGAGTCCAAATTTGGTATATTTTTACACAACATTTAGATTTAAAAGTCTGTACTACTTTTTTGTGCTATAAATAATATTTTGGTAGTGTTTTGCAATGTTTATTTCAAAGAAAATTTTGGCGAGGTTCAAAAAATGCAAAATATTTTGTATTTTGTCCCTAATATTTCAGGCAGGGTCAAAGCTACAATGGTGCTGACACCAGAAAACCATTCTATGACATCTTACCTTTACAGAGGTACCAAAAGTTTCTTCTTAAATCTAATAGCTGTGAGGCTATAAGTGATTTACTTTTGTGTGTTTTTGTCAGGCAGAAATTTATTTATACCCCCTGAGGGTGTAAGAGGTTAAGAACATCTGCTGTCTGCTACATAAGCAAACTCCACTGACAGGCAGGGTAGTACCTGGTATATGCCTTGTGGAGACATGGTGCCATTGTGAAGGCCCAGGAAAGGCCGTACAGCTTCCTTACATCGACTCCAGTCACCCTGACCCCTCAGGTACACGGTGTGGTTACCCCGGGTGACGGTGTCAGACATGCTGACTGGAAGACAGGGGTCCAGGTAGGGCCTTTCCTCACTCAGACCCATCTCTGTGGCCGGAAACCTGAACAGACATAAAAATATTATCTGTCGCGTTCATTGGAGTAGGGCTGTGTGAATATAAAAAAAAAAAATCAAGTTTAACAATAAGGTTACTCTATTTTCAGACAATTTATATGAATCAATGTAATTTCTCTGGTTGTATATACCGACAGGTTTATTCTATCGGAGGGTTTTGTTACCATTTATGCTCAGGTGAATTTAGCTAATTTAGAAATTGGTGTTTGGTTCAGTTGATGTTAACTAGTCTTTTTATTTGTGTATTCAGCTGATTCATTTATTTTTGTTTGTCAAATTGTCTGAAATAAATTCCTATTTCTAAAAACTGAGGCGTTCATTAAGAAGACATTGTGAATATGAAAGACGTCTATATGCAGTCTAAAAACCCTCTCCTTATAAATATTTGATAATGTGAATTAATACCGCTCGTTCTTTTATTGGATCCTCGTCTAAAGGACCAACTATATTTTTATTTTAACACCTAATGTGTCAAATGGACCAAGTTAATGATTTTATTTTATTGCTCACATAAAACTTCGGCAGAACTTTCCTGACTAAATCAGGAAATAGAACAATGTGATTGGCTCTAAGGAGGACACCAAGTTTATCTAGAAAAACCGGCTTCCGAGTCATTAGATTTATTTTATTACTTTATTGTCAAAACAAAATTTCTTTCAGTACAGCCTTCAAGACATTTCCATTTCTTAAAGTGCAGCAGTGATCAAATGTAAACATAAGACTGAGATATGATTTACAGTTTTTCCAACGTTCAACGTTTCTTTTTTTATTTTTATTTCTCATTATAATCAACATTCAGCAGTCTGCGGTGGGGAAGAACCTGATTTGGAATCTGCTGAACCTCGGAAGCTTCGAAGCCTCTTCCCAGAGGGCAGCAGGGAGAACAGTCCATGGTGGGGGGGTGAGGGGTCATTGATGGCGTTACGGGCTCGTGAAGAGGAGACCCCATGATCCTCTCTGCTGTTCTCACCACTCTCCTCACCTTCTTCCAGTCTGCGGCTTTGCAGCCTCCACACCATACAGTGAGGCAGCTGGTCAGAACGCTCTCTACTGTGTCTCTATGTGTTTTAGGTGTGTTTTTACAACATCATGGGGACCAATTCCATAAATCTTAGCACATTGTGGCGACCAAGTTCTCTAGTTGTGACCAACGTATGTTCCCATGGGTACAAATGCTGTTTTAGGCTTAGGTGTGAAATGAGTTTAGGACAGGATTAGGGTTAGGTATGAACCTGTAATCTCCCACGAGGATAGAGAAAGGTGAACTGTGTGCAGGGTTCCTACAGCGTAAGGCAAGTTAAATTCAAGACTTTTTAATGCCACTTGAAATAATAATTTTAGACGAAATTTACAAGAAACACAAGAAAAACCCGCTTGCAACAACTTAACCCAAAGGTTTATTTTAACATAAACCACTGCACTAATGTTTCAAATTTTAAAAAAGCTTCCCATACAGGAAGAAAGCTAAAAACACACAAATGACAGATATATTTGAACAATTATTTAACTGAATTCACAAACTTTGTTTTAGCAGGGAACAAAACAAATCAGTTTTAAAGCCCCAACATAACCAGTGCTAAGTCTTTTTTGCAGCTATTTTTCTTTGTATCGTTTTCTTAGTATGTTTGATTTGGTGATAAGTGGAGGCGTTGCAGAGACAAGGGTGGAACTAAACTGAGAAATACCGGCTGTTTCTCTGTAACTCCATTTTGACGCTTTGTGTTTCGTGCTTCGCATGTGCGACTCCACTGCATTAATTCCCATCGTTCTGAGCTTGAATGACTTCTTGCACTAAATCCACTGAGCCTCATGTATGTTCCCTGGTTTTAGCCATGGAGAAAACTCTTGGCTGGAGACAATTTTGGTTACATTTACACTTGCTCATATTTTCCAGGCAAAAAGTTAATGGTGCATCTCCCAAATGTCCCGGCCGCAACAACGCTTTTCTTGGTTCCGCTATCGGGACGGAACCAATAATGGCGAGCCGGTTTTTTTTTTTTTAAATAAAAAAAATTTGTACATTTTAGTTTTATTTAGATTACAAAAATAAATCGTAATAAAAATAATCCTATTACGTTTTAAAAATTAAGACCTACGAAAGACTAATTTAAGACATTTTAATACCAATTATGGCCTTAGTATTATTTTCAAGAATTCAATGCCTTTTAAGACTTTTTAAGGACCCGCGGGAACCCTGTGTGTGTGTGGGGGTGGGTGGGCGTGTCTCTTACCCGTTTCTGGGCAGCGTGCTGTTCACCAGCCGGTCCTCGTAGCGCTGCCTGGCCATGTTTCCTCCAAAGCCCAGGAATGTGGTGACATACACTCTGTAAACGTGCTGCGTCTGCTCGACGTCGCAGCCCAGGTTGAACTCGGCCAGGACGCTCTTTCCTGCCTCCTCCTGGACAACATGGGTGATGTCAAACAGCGCCACACGTCGGCAGCAAACACAAAGACACTCCTCCTTACAGCAGAGTCATCAGCTCCTGCTCCTCCTTACCTCTTGTGGCGAGCTGAAGGTGATGGCGCTGGGCACTTCGTAAGCTATCTGAAGGGAAGCTCCGCCCATATCCATGATGCCCACGGTGCGGCGTCTGCTGATTGGCGGCTGGTTTTCGGACCCAGTGGTCACTTCGACCAAAGCATCGTCTGAAATAAAAAAGAAACAGATTTTCTAAACCTTCCAGAAAATCCTCGGATCCATTTCAGAACATCAGTGCTTCCTGCCAACCTTCCTCAGGATGATCGAAGCGGCCGAGGACAAAATTAATCCCGATCCAAGCGTACACTCCTTACAGCAGCGCCGCAACAGAACACATTATCACCACCATGGGGAAAAACAAAACGGTTATCAGTCAGAAGCTGGAGAAACAGACATTTCTGAACATGAAGTAAAGCAAGCATCGGGCCGTACCTTCCTGCTTCCCAGAGATGACCTCAGCGTGTGAGCGGGAGAACAGGAAATCAAACTCCAGAGGAACGTCGGTGACCAGGTCCTCCAGGATGGCCGCTTGCTGGCTGCGTGTAAAGAGAAACATCAGACTGAATGCAGTGAAGATGCTGACAGCTTCCAGAAGGGAAATAAGGATTAGCTATGGGTAACCAGACCAGATTATAACAACAATCCGGGGGAAACTAGGAACCTGTCAAGGTTCAGAAGATCTAACACTCGGTGAGAATTTACCATTAGGCAATACGAGGCAGTTGCCTAGGGCCCCAAAAAACTCTGTATACATGTATGGTTAATAGAAGAGAAGGACAAAACGTAGAAGAAATAATGTATGTCGATTAAAAATTCAGTATCTGTATAATGGGTCTCTTTTATGTATTGTCAACTCAATTCTATGCCTGTCTTTGCCTAGGGCCCCAAATTTCCTAAATCGGCCCCTGCTCACACTGTTTGGAAAGGTTTGCCTTTTCAGGTCAGACTTATTCTGATCCAGTTTGATCAAACCTAGTTGTTGACACTTTTAACGTGTAATGAAATTTGATCCAAACAAAACTTCATTGAGGACCGCAGGGAAGCTGGAAATCAGAAAACTGTCCATTCCCTGGGAAAAAAAAACATGTTTCACCTTTGTTTGAGCAGGAAAGTACAACATAAAAATACTTCTATTTGCTAATTTCAACGGCATACTATATTCCTAAGACAAAACATTCATTGAGATATCATCTCATTTGATTGTTCAAATTAGGCAAAAATTTAATTATTATAAGAAATGTTTACTTCTTCTAACCATATTTTTTGCAGTAAAGCTTAACAAGGAACTACCTTCTGTTTCCTTCAAAATAAGAGTCTCAAATGTAATCAAACTCTCCACAGCACTGAGTCCCTGCAGTACAAGCCTTCTAGTTGGTGAATGTGAAGATAAAAACATATCAAAGCTCTTCTTTGATACACATAGGAGGATAAATACAGGTGCTGGTCATAAAATTAGAATATCATGAAAAAGTAGATTGATTTCAGTAATTCCATTTAAAAAGTGAAACTTGTATATTATATTCATACATTACATACAAACTCATATATTTCAGATGTTTATTTTGTTTAATTTTGATGATTACAAATGACAACAAATGAAAATCTCAAATTCATCATATCAGAAAATTAGAATATTACTGAAGACCAATAAAAACAAAGGATTTATAGAAATGTTGGCCAACTGAAAAGTATGAACATGAAAAGTATGAGCATGTACAGCACTCAGTATTTAGTTGGGCCTCCTTTGGCCTGTATTACTGCAGCAATGCGGCGTGGCATGGAGTCGATCAGTCTGTGGCACTGCTCAGGTGTTATGATAGCCCAGGTTGCTCTAATAGTGGCTTTTAGCTCTTCTGAATTGTTGGGTCTGGTGTATTGCATCTTCTTCTTCACAATACCCCATAGATTTTCTATGGGGTTAAGGTCAGGAGAGTTTGCTGGCCAATTAAGAACAGGGATACCATGGTCCTTCAACCAGGTACTGGTAGCTTTGGCACTGTGTGCAGGTGCCAAGTCCTGTTGGAAAATGAAATCTGCATCTCCAAAAAGTTGGTCAGCTGCAGGAAGCATGAAGTGCTCTAAAACTTCCTGGTATGTGGCTGCGTTGACCCTGGACCTCAGAAAACACAATGGACCAACACCAGCAGATGACATGGCATCCCAAACCATCACTGACTGTGGAAACTTTACACTGGACTTCAAGCAACGTGGATGAAGTGCCTCTCTTCTTATCCTCCAGACTCTGGGACCTTGATTTCCAAAGGAAATGCAAAATTTACTTTCATCAGAGAACATGACTTTGGACCACTCACCAGCAGTCCAGTCCTGTTTCTCTTTAGCCCAGGCAAGACGCTTCTGACGCTGTCTGTGGTTCAAGAGTGGCTTGACACAAGGAATGCGACAGCAGAAACCCATGTCTTTCATACGTCTGTGTGTGGTGGTTCTTGAAGCACTCACTCCAGCTGCAGTCCACTCTTTGTGAATCTCCCCCACATTTTTGAATGGGTTTTGTTTCACAATCCTCTCCAGGGTGCGGTTATCTCTCTTGCTTGTACACTTTTTTCGACCACATCTTTTCCTTCCCTTCGCCTCTCTATTAATGTGCTTGGACACTGAGCTCTGTGAACAGCCAGCCTCTTTAGCGATGACCTTTTGTGTCTTGCCCTCCTTGTGCAAGGTGTCGATGGTCGTCTTTTGGACAACTGTCAAGTCAGCAGTCTTCCCCATGATTGTGTAGCCTATAGAACTAGACTGAAAGACCATTTAAAGGCTTTTGCAGGTGGTTTGAGTTAATTAGCTGATTAGAGTGTGGCACCAGGGGCCATCAATTTTGAACCTTTTCACAATATTCTAATTTTCTGATATGATGAATTTGAGATTTTCATTTGTTGTCATTTGTAATCATCAAAATTAAACAAAACATCTGAAATATATGAGTTTGTATGTAATGTATGAATATAATATACAAGTTTCACTTTTTAAATGGAATTACTGAAATCAATCTACTTTTTCATGATATTCTAATTTTATGACCAGCACCTGTATTATATCAGTGCAAAAATGTTTGCAGGAGGGGAAACATTTTTCTTTGGTTCAATGAGACATTGTTGAATGTTTAAACCTGAATTGGTACAAGACTTTAACATTTAATTTAAAGTAATATGTAATATGATTTATTCAATAAGTAAATTATAAATAGATTATTTCCATTTCCTGCACATGCTTTTATTTCTGATAGAGGAGCCAGAGCATTTATCGCGATAAAGGTTAAACTGCCCGATTTATCGTGATAATGTATCGCCCAGCCTCTGATCTACAAGTTGGAAAATATCATTCTTATCTCTGGCTGCCAACGTTCTCTCGTTGATCATTACCTCTCAGGCAGCAGCCGCATGCCAGCAGTGCAGAGGATGTAGAGCGGCGTCTCTTTATGTTTGCTTGCAGGAACATGAGCAGCAGCAAAGCTGAGGAGAGGCTCCAGGTAATCGCTGGCCTGTGTTGGTGTGTTTGCCAGAGTGGAAATGCCTGAAGACAAACAAAAAGATTCATTAATGATCGAAAGAAGAATTTTGTAAAATGATATGAAATTTTACTTCAGCCTTAATTTTGCCTCTCTGTGCCGTTTCCCTTGTTTTGTTAAGTTTGTTAAGTGTTCCTCATTTCCTGCACCTATCAGCTGAGTCTCTGCTTCAACACATCCAAGTCAATTCATCAGGTCAGTAGCAGGACTCTGCGTGCTGTGGAGGTAATTCAGCCATTTGATTTAAGGGTAGAGGCAGAAAAATATCTAAAGGCAGCAGGACATCAAATCTTGAGGGCCAGAATAGAGGAGGTCTGCTTTAGAGGTTAAATCCAGAATATGAAGCTCAGTAGATTAAAAAAAGCCTTTAGCTGAGACGACTGGAGCTAAAACAACTTCCTCTAATCCCTCCGTTGGCCCTGAAACTCAGATAATCACAGATAATGTCATGCATTCACAAGCTGCACAGCGGTCCAACTTTTTTAAACCGGTAACAATTTAAGTCAGAATTTTTAAAGGTCAGATCTGCAAACATGATGGAAAGGAAGAGATGGAAACAGAAAAGGGAAGGAGAAGTAAACAAGAAGATAAAACAGGAAATTAGAGGTGATGAAAGGATGAAAAAAGAGGAAAGGAAATGAGAGGGTGGAAACACCAGTTAGCCTCAGCAGAAGGCCGCTCACACTGAGCCTGGTTCTGCTGGAGGTTTCTTCCTGTTAAAAGGGAGTTTTTCTCTCCACTGTCGCTACATGCATGCTCTTCCAGGAGGAGCATGTCTTGCAGGTCAGTGACTGGATGCAATCAGCTGGTTTGGCTTGACAGAAACATTTACCCAGCCTGACTGTAATGTCTCTGTAAAGTGCCTTAGGGTGACATGTGTATTTTGAATTGGCGCTATAGAAATAAACTGAATAGAATGAAAAAGGAGAGAAAATATCATTTTTCATACACCCAAGCTGTGTGTCATTGAAACCAAATTTGGAAACAATCAACTACTTGTACAAGTAAAGGGCTTATTATACTCCCTAGATACGGCCGAGGCGGTGAGGAAGTGGGGGCAAGTTTATCCGACAACGGAGGAACATGAGGATGAAAAAGGGTCCCAGCGTTCTTGCACACCTCACTCTTCTAGCTGGTTTAACTTCAAGAGTTTTTTTCAGAATGGTGGTCAGACAAACAAAACAAGCTGGTACCGTATTTTCGCGACTATAAGGCGCATATAAACGTCTTTTTTTTCCCCTCAAAATGTGCGGCGCGCCCTATGTGTGTTGTTACTGCGGACGTTGTTGAGACCACCATGAGAACGTTAAAAGGGGGAAGTGTGGGCGTGGATTGGCTGCCACGCAAATGGACAGAAACTGCCGCCTATGGTGATTTTTAAGCGAAAGACTTTGCCTAAAGAGACTTTTCCAGCTGGAGTCGTAATTAAGGCAAATGAAAAGGGCTGGATGGATGAGGAGATGATGAAAGCGTGGCTGAGGGAGGCGTATGTAAGGAGACCAGGTGGGTTTTTTTCCACGCATCACCATCGCTGTTAATCTGTGACTCCATGCGTGCCCATCTCACAGCCGATGTGAAAAACATGGTGAAACAAATGAACAAATTTCACTTGTTTTTTACAGATTGGCTAACAATCAAAAACTCAATCTGAGCTCAAACCCTCAGAGCTTCAATCTGATTCTTCTTTTTCTCCACCTTGTTTGGTAATAAATATCCTCACATTAAAAGATTCAACTCTGAAACATCTCCAGTAACGATTCCTCACCAGGTTTGATCTTTTTCACTACAGGTTTATGGTCACTGTCTCTCATCTGTCGGATGTCCAGCAGGGTGTGGGGGTTCCCATTGTGAGGGGGCCAGTAGTACACGAAAACCCTGGAGCCGCTGCTGCCACAGTCCACCACAATCCCATAATTCAGAGCAGAGTCAAGGACATTGGTGGCCTCCAAGGACTCGACGATAGAGAGGTACCTGGAGGAAGAGAAAAACGGAGACACACTCAGAGCTAAAGTCCACTTATCCAACACTGACATGAATGTTGAGAACGTCGTGTACGAGGCGTGAGAAAACAGCAGGTCTGATACGTCTCAGTATTTATGGAAAACGATGAGAAACAAACAGATGCTCCTGCTTCTTATCTCGACTCAAACAAAACAGTTTGATAAACATAAAAAACGAAAGCCTTTCACATTTTTATCTGCTCTGATGCTTTCAGGTCGTTCTCTGCCAACCAGCAAGAGAAGTAACCGTTAAAATGATGAACTAAAAGCGGTTTTCTGAAAACAACAAGAAGCTAAACTCTCTAGCCTCAGTCACACCATGACTTCCCACTCACTTGTTGACTCGGGACCCCGGCCGGCGCTGGGAGCCCCACAGCTGCCTCTGGTAGGAGGCCAGCAGGAAAACGGAGGTGATGAACAGCAGCAGCAGGAAGAGGAGCCTCTGCTTGGTGGCACAGTTTAGAGACAGCAGGGACGCGCTGCAGTACCAGGAGGCTGGCAGGCAGGACAACGTGATCCTGCAGACAGGAAAGAAAATAAAAAACAAATAAAAAAATAAAAAAAGAGCCATACCTCAGATCTACTAAAACCTTCCCCAGATGATTACCTTGCCATGTGTCCCACTGAGGTAAAGGATAAGATGTGGCAATCGTCACCTCATGGTGGCTGCAGTCAGACCAGCGTCCTGCTGACGAGGCACAGTTACGTGATGCGGTATTTAGTTCATCCGAACATAAATCAATTGAAAACCTTAGTAAACTAAAGCAGATGGTGAAGCAAAGGTTATTTTATTCACTTCCTTACATATATTCCTCTGCATTAAACCAAGCTCTTCCTCTACCGAAACAAAGCAGCACACAACACAACCTTCAGATTAGAATGATTCACCAAACTGCTGAGATTTTTGACCAATTTAAATTTTTTTGTTTTTTGTATCAGAATCAGGCAATCCACTCATACAATAGCCCGTTTATTATTCCAATGGTTCCCAAACTAGTGGGCGCTTCAATTTTTTTTTTCTTCTGTTAAATGCCTAATTTTGACTTAAATTAACGTACTACTTTTTTGCCCTGTAAGCTGCTGGTAACCTTAATTTCCAGAGGGAGTCTTCCCAACGGATCAATAAAGTTCTGTCTAAGCCTAAGTCTAAGTCTAAGTCTAATCAGGGATGGCGCAGTGTAAAAGTAGTGGGGAATTGTTGAAATGAACAAAAAAAAATACATAGTTTGAGTTTTTTTTTAATCAATATTGAATTCTGTTGCATAGTAGAATAGAAGGCTAAAATTTTAATAACTACACTTCACAGGTGGCCGTTTTAGCCATTTAAAGTAGATTGTAGATGATCTTAATTCTATATTTCATTTACTGCTGTTAACTTTTTTCATTTAATTTTTGAAAAGTGTGGAGCAGAATAAGAGATGGTATGGGCACAAAAACCTTATGGTAAACAAAAGGTAAAGCGTAGGAACCACTGTATTTGCGCATGCATCGCTGCTGCCTCCATTATTAATGTTTTGTTTGATTTATCACCAAATGTTTGTTTTTTCTGTTTAGACTTGTGTAAAATTTGTTATTATTATTATTGTTAGTGCTGTGGTGCCATAATATTTTCATTTTAAGGTACAAGTAAACTGTTCAGTGCACTAAAAAAAAGTTTGAAAGGTCTTCTTAACGAACCCATCTGAAATATTCCCTGGTCTTCATGATCCGGTTTGTTCACGAATCTTCTCAAACAAACCTCTAGATTTATACAAAAATACAGAATTCTGATTCTGACTTTTTTTTTAATCAAAATTTTGACTTTAATCTCAGGATTCTCACTTTCTTCCTATATCAAACTGAAATAAATTTTTAAAAAATCTGTTAACTTTTTCTTATTTTTCCAGTGGCCCTAATCCTCTTCCGTATAGTTGAGTGTAATAAAAGATAATCTACCATTTGTGTTGATTTGTCACATACAAACTTAATAATGAATAAATGAGACTGTTGTATATTAAAATAAATTTCCAATAGGAAACATTTTCAAAGTAGTGAATGCACTGACATTTTGGACTGTGACATTTTCTAGATAAATCAACCCAAATAAACAATGTTAATATTTGATCCAGCTCTGACACAAACATGCTGTTAACTTTCGAGAATCACTCAGTGATAGAGTATAAAATGTCCTGATTATTGCCGGTATTAATGGGGATGTATTAGACATGGCTGCTAGTCTTGCTTTAGCTTTCCGTTCCTGGGTAAAGGGCCCCATAGAGGAGAGCTATCCGGCTTATCTGCGGGGTATTTTTACAACAGGTGTTAAATAAAGAAGATAAAACAAATCATAACAGGAAACTGCAAAAAAATTAATTATTCATTTGTCATCTTTATATTTTTACTAGTTGGGCACAGGCCGGCTAACGGTGCGTTTAAAAGCAGCTGTTGTGAGCGGCGTCCAGCGGCACTGACCTACCTACAGGAGCCTTCCACTGAACATGACGGTAAATTACAACTGTAAAATATCCTCCATCTTCCATAAAAGTATTATAAAATGTCATAAAAAAAAGTCCTCTTCGGTATAAAAATTGTTTTAAAACCAGACGTCGAAGTGAGGAGGAGGAAAAGACGGAAATAAGTACGGAGCTTCCGGTGACGGACCAACCCATTGGCGACGTCATCCAATGCTAATGATGCCTTCAAGTACTACAGTACAACTCGGTATTCTGCATAAAAAGCAAATATTGAATATATGTTTTCTGTTTTTCTTGATATAATTGTCAAGTTATACAGCCACTTAAATCTCTTTTGCTTCGAGGTTTTATTTATTTTCACACTTTAACTAAAGAAACCATCCTCTTGCAAGAATAACCACGATCTCCACTGGTCCATAAAGTACTCACGCACTTTTAAAGGCATAGTGCAGGTTTTCCTGGCAGGGTCGCTGCCACTATCGTATCTTGAGTAGTAGATACATTTATAACATCATCGTGAGGTCTAAATCTCTGAAGCTAAAGCTAACGGATAGCCAGACAGGGGGGCAAAGTGAACTTCATTGGTTTAAAATATCTCCAGTCTAGAAAATATGTGTTTTGGTTCATTTTAGGTCTACACAAGTTGATCAACATTAAAAACAGAAATAAAGACTGAGGACAGAAAACTAAACTGATCTCTTTTCAGGGAGCCCTGTGAACAAAAACCATTTGCTGTGAGACTAACTGAAATAAAATATTAAAAAACTATAAATTTTGCAGCTGTATAAGTCAAAAATATTGTTACTATATTTCTTTAAAGAGTTTCTAGTCGTCACTCTGATTGGGATCTTATTACACAGTCAGTTCTCAGAAAATGTTCTATATAGGAGAGTTTTGGTGGCACTTTGCCTCCAACCTTCTTTTCACTGTCCTGTTGCTGAAGAGATTCTAAAACTGATTCTTGAGGGATTCTAGAAATGCTCTCCTGTCCGTCACATTGCGGCTGAATTAGAACACATGCAAAGATTTTTTTGTAAATATAAAATATATCTATACAAATAAGAAGCTCAGACAAAACTCTATCAATGAGAAAAATTGTTTTTAACTTCCAGATATCTGATCTTTTGTTTCAATAGGTGCTTGAGCTCTATCAGCCTATAGATTCTGAGCTTCCTGCCTCTCTGGTAACATCAGCATTCTCAACTCCAAAATATCAAATTTGGTATATCAAAGCTGACCACATGGGACCAATGGAAACATAAAAAACGAAAGAAGAGAATTAAATTAAAGTAAAAGAGAGACTCATTTTGCAACAAGACAGTTCCTTGCATCATGTTAACTTTAGCATTTTTTTGGAGCCAAAAGAGGAAATAACAAAACAAAGATATACAGGTGCTGGTCATAAAATTAGAATATCATGAAAAAGTAGATTGATTTCAGTAATTCCATTTAAAAAGTGAAACTTGTATATTATATTCATACATTACATACAAACTCATATATTTCAGATGTTTATTTTGTTTAATTTTGATGATTACAAATGACAACAAATGAAAATCTCAAATTCATCATATCAGAAAATTAGAATATTACTGAAGACCAATAAAAACAAAGGATTTATAGAAATGTTGGCCAACTGAAAAGTATGAACATGAAAAGTATGAGCATGTACAGCACTCAGTATTTAGTTGGGCCTCCTTTGGCCTGTATTACTGCAGCAATGCGGCGTGGCATGGAGTCGATCAGTCTGTGGCACTGCTCAGGTGTTATGATAGCCCAGGTTGCTCTAATAGTGGCTTTTAGCTCTTCTGAATTGTTGGTTCTGGTGTATTGCATCTTCTTCTTCACAATACCCCATAGATTTTCTATGGGGTTAAGGTCAGGAGAGTTTGCTGGCCAATTAAGAACAGGGATACCATGGTCCTTCAACCAGGTACTGGTAGCTTTGGCACTGTGTGCAGGTGCCAAGTCCTGTTGGAAAATGAAATCTGCATCTCCAAAAAGTTGGTCAGCTGCAGGAAGCATGAAGTGCTCTAAAACTTCCTGGTATGTGGCTGCGTTGACCCTGGACCTCAGAAAACACAATGGACCAACACCAGCAGATGACATGGCACCCCAAACCATCACTGACTGTGGAAACTTTACACTGGACTTCAAGCAACGTGGATGAAGTGCCTCTCTTCTTTTCCTCCAGACTCTGGGACCTTGATTTCCAAAGGAAATGCAAAATTTACTTTCATCAGAGAACATGACTTTGGACCACTCACCAGCAGTCCAGTCCTGTTTCTCTTTAGCCCAGGCAAGACGCTTCTGACGCTGTCTGTGGTTCAAGAGTGGCTTGACACAAGGAATGCGACAGCAGAAACCCATGTCTTTCATACGTCTGTGTGTGGTGGTTCTTGAAGCACTCACTCCAGCTGCAGTCCACTCTTTGTGAATCTCCCCCACATTTTTGAAGGGGTTTTGTTTCACAATCCTCTCCAGGGTGTGGTTATCTCTCTTGCTTGTACACTTTTTTCGACCACATCTTTTCCTTCCCTTCGCCTCTCTATTAATGTGCTTGGACACTGAGCTCTGTGAACAGCCAGCCTCTTTAGCGATGACCTTTTGTGTCTTGCCCTCCTTGTGCAAGGTGTCGATGGTCGTCTTTTGGACAACTGTCAAGTCAGCAGTCTTCCCCATGATTGTGTAGCCTATAGAACTAGACTGAAAGACCATTTAAAGGCTTTTGCAGGTGGTTTGAGTTAATTAGCTGATTAGAGTGTGGCACCAGGGGCCATCAATTTTGAACCTTTTCACAATATTCTAATTTTCTGATATGATGAATTTGAGATTTTCATTTGTTGTCATTTGTAATCATCAAAATTAAACAAAATAAACATCTGAAATATATGAGTTTGTATGTAATGTATGAATATAATATACAAGTTTCACTTTTTAAATGGAATTACTGAAATCAATCTACTTTTTCATGATATTCTAATTTTATGACCAGCACCTGTATGTACCGGTATGTAACAATCTCTTTTTTTTAGCACAGCTTAGAACTAAAGTAAGTTTATGAATACCAAATACAGCAATCGATTGACAAGGTTACAAATTCAATTTCAAGACCGAAGACATAATTGAGAAGTACTTAGACCAAAACTTATATAATTCGGGACAGAGAAAGAACATGTGGCCCAAACCGCAGGGGGGAACCTTTGCATTTGTCACATAACATTTGGGTAATTCTGAGAAAGCCTAGATTTTAAGAAGTGAATCCTATGTAAAACTTTAAAGTGGATCAAACTAAGACGAGCACAGGATGAGGAAGATCAAATTCTGTTAATGGCATCATCCTAAATATTTTGTTTTAACTGGATTCCCAGCTATTTATCTCATGCATCTCTAAATTTGTCATTACAATCAACCCTTAGATTTAAAATCAAACTATAAATCTTTCAAATCGAACTCTTTGGATTGGATTATGCGTAATAATGTTTTCCCAGGACTGTTAAGGCGGCATTGAAAACGTTATCATTTTGTTGTGTCAAACAAAAACAGAAAATTTGACATGTTACTTTGTAGTTTTTGTATATGTTCATATTTGTCAGCTAACAGAGATAAAGATGAATAGAAGATTTTGAGTTCGTTTTTTTAATGACGGTTTTTGATTTTTACATTTACGTAAATGTATATGATATCTTTCTATACTCATGACAATATTGATCATGTTGGATACATCCTTCGCAATGTCATTCTTGTATGATAATATTTGATTTATCTCAAAAGGTGTTATATTATCTATTTTGCTATTTAACCAGATATGCAGGTTCTGCCAAAAGCTGCTGTTGGATAAAAATATATTATATTATCTTATATTGTATTTCTTTTACTTTTGGTGAAATTGGCCATTTTAGATATTGAAAATATTTTCCAGTTACCTGAATCATTAATGATTCATATTATGGGTTATCATCTGGGACGTCCGGTGTCAAACCGTGACTTCCCACTGTTACAAAACGGAACACGCCCACTTCCCCGGAACTACCAAGTACATCCCGCTGCAGCCTGCGGGAAGGCCCACACCAAGGACAGCCATATTGGAAATGCTGACGTAACAGGGCAGGGAATATATAAAGATATATGTAAAAATATGTTTTCATCTTAATTGTGAAAAGTTATCCCTCGAGCCCTGACGTAAATGGTCTGTAAATTTAAACAAAAATACGCCGCACAGTGCTGAGGCATCATTAGTGTGTTCGGCTTGAATCAGCATGTTTGAGTAGCAGGTCGACCGCCCCAATATGGCGGCCGTAATTCCTGCGCCGCGACAGCCAATGCGGGGTCTACTGATTTATTTATTTATTTTTTTTTTGTGATTTTTTTTTATTTATTTATTTATTTTTATTTCACTTAAAGTCACACAACAATATATAAACAAACAAACAAATATGCCAGGGGGTATGTCACAATAAACAAGTACAGTTAGGAGAAAGAAAACAAGCAATTATACAAACATATGCGCTGGGGAGTGTCATATATATATATATATGTGTATGTATTATACAAATAAATATATCTTTTACAACATTAAGTTGTCTAGAATTTCTAGTTGGGAACAGATTGTAATGGTTTTTTGAGCTTTCTGATGAGAAGAAAGATGTATTGTATGAAAATATCGTTTGACTTCTATTAAATAAGCTTTAAAGTCCGTTTTTTTTTTTTGAAATTTAAATTTATGCAAGTGAAATTTGGCCAACAAAATTAAAAGATTGATAAGGAAAGGTTTGGGAAACATTTTACTTTGCAGTTGAAAGCCAAATAAAATGTTTTTCCAATGAAGCTGAAAATTTTTCATAACATTTGAATTCACATAGTTGCAAAAGTGTAACCAAAACGTCTTAGAGTATGGACACAACCAAAACAAATGTGTTACAGTTTCTGGTAGAAGATCACAAAAAGTGCAGTTCACAGGAATATCAGGTTTAAACTTTTTTAGGTAGTCTTTTAGAGGATAAATCCTGTTGGGGTCTACTGATATTATATTATTATTTGAACTTCAGCACCAGCAAGTATTTGGTTATATTGCTTTTCTTAATCAACGCTGGAGATAGGCACGAGCAACCCCCGCGACCCCATGAGGGATTAAGCGGTCAGAAATTTGATGGATAGATTTTTTCTTAATCTGCGATGGA